CGTTTTTCCCATGATTTTTTCCATCAATCTGCAAAAATGCTTGTTTGACAATTTGGCATTTCTGTAACAGCTGCACAGGGCATAGTCCAGTCTTGTCCAGCTTGTCAGCGTAGTGGCCTCGGTGTAGGCCTGGGGTTAAATCCTCGAGGCCTTATGGCCCTTCAGTTATGGCAAATGGATGTTACACATGTCCCTGAATTTGGTAGACTCAAATATGTCCATGTCTCTATTGATACCCTTTCGCTAGCGCTTTGGGCTACCGTACAAACTGGTGAAACGGCTTGTCACGTCATTCGACACATGCACTCTGCCGTTGCAGCCTTAGGGGTCCCTCTTCAAATTAAAACGGATAACGGGCCTGCATATATCTCCCATAAGTTTCAGACTTTTTGTAATCAATGGGGTATTCATCAAGTCACAGGAATCCCTCACTCTCCAACTGGTCAAGCTATCGTGGAGCATGCTCATGCAACTCTTAAGGAGCTTTTGCAAAAACAAAAAGGGGGAGCACCCCTCCCACCAGCTGAACGAGTTGCAAAAGCTGTCTATGTCTTACATTTTTTGCAGTTGACAGGAGATAGGACAGAGTCCCCTATCATGATACATAGCAATGCCTTAGCAGCAGGATGTGTTAAGGTGAATGGTGCTTGGGTGGTTTATAGAGATCTGCGAACAGGGGAATGGAAGGACCCAGTTGAGGTCATAATGACTGGAAGGCGCTATGTTTGTGTTTCCACAGATTCCGGACCACTATGGCTACCCAGCCGATGGGTCAAGCCAGATCAGCGAGGCTGCTCATTTTAATTGCCTGGATGAGTGCTGTCGCAAAAGGTCTGGAAGACCCACTCTTAAGCATGGCATTGCCTCGAGACAAGATATGGATAACATGGGCGAACAGAACCAACACTTCTAGTTTTTGTGTGTCTTTAACAGCCATGTCTGACCCATTTCGCACTTGTTTAATGGTATACCCTCTTCAGAGCCAGAAAGATTTGTGGGATATATAAGTAACATTTCGTTAGCTAACTGAACCGTATTGCAACAGGAAGCAGACAAGGCTAGTGTGTCTGATAACTGGTGTAATGGAAATCAGACGGCCTGCCAACAGCTTCAGGCCAACAAACAGGTTTAGTGTGGAGGTTGTATCAATGGTAATATTGCAAACTGGACACTAGCTTGGATGTCTGTTTTTTTGATTCAGCATTTGAATAAAGCTTTACCGTGGGATCCACAGGAAGTGCAGCTGGCAGGATCCATAAACGGAACTAAAGATGGCTTGTGCTTTGGCTGTAGCTCTAATATAATTGATGCCCCAGCTAAAGCAAGGTGTGTAAGTTCTCGTATTGGCATGCAGTGTCATCTACTTGATGTGTGGACAGATGTGTCTGGATCAGGTATTTATAGGATACGGGATGCTTCTGAGGCCCAAGCATGGTGTGGGGGAGCTGTAGGTCTAGAAAAGTTTGGCCGGTATGAACTTTTTCCAAACATGTTGTTAGCTTTGCCTAAGGGAGTTTTTTTTTTGATTTGTGGTAATCGCGCCTGGCAAGGTATCCCAAAACATCCCCTTGGTGTGGACCATGTTATCTGGGACGTCTTAGTCTTGTAGCTCCATCAGTATCTCTGTTAAACAAAACTACTTTGGTTCGATCTCGTAGATTTCTTACTAAGCTGGAGAGCACCTGTAAGGACTCTGTAATGCTTTTGGGTAAAGTCAAAAATGCCTTAACAAGTATTTTTTGTCCTGGGTGTGCAGCAACTATTGCTAATGCTAATTTGCAAAAGCTTACTTGTTGGGTTGTGAAACAAGCTAGCCTTACGTCTGCAGTTTTAACAGACCTCATGAAAGATATAGATAGTAGTCACAAGGCTATTTTGCAGAATCGCTGGGCTATTGATTTTTTTATTATTAGCTTATGGGTATGGCTGTAATGATTTTGAAGGCATGTGTTGTTTTAATCTAAACAATCATTCACAATCTATTCAGAAGCGGTTGCAGCAAATGCAGGAACATGTAAATACGATTAAAGTGGAACAAGGTTTAGACGATTGCCTAGCTCAGTTGGGGTTTAGCGGCTGGCTGCGACCTTTACTGTATAGCCTAGCACAATTGTTAATCACGTTGTTGGTGTTACTGATTATTGGTTGTGGAATTTCTGCATGTGGGAAGGCTTTGTGTATGAGGTTCATTCCGAAGGCTTAGCTCGTTCAACAATCACACATGGAATTGGGACTCGGCACTGAATATGAAGAGATCACTGCGTTATATGAAGATATTGACTAACGCGCCCGCCTCAGAAACAAAAAGGGGGAATTGTTGTATGGATTTAGTTAGCATGAGTCGGGCTTCTCAGCATAAGTAGAGCTTCTCTGTAAGTGGAAAAATACTAGGCCAGAGGGGAGGTTAGCCATGGATAGCAGTGGGGGAAATGAAATTGCAACGTTAGCGATGTTAAGAACAAAAACCAGGATGTAAAACCGCAGTGTAAGAATGTTGAGGTAAGTGCTAAACATAAGTAGCTGTTGTAACTTGTATTAAGCAACTTTGCGTAAAGCCCAATCAGAAGCTTGTTGGCAAGGCATGTTAACCAATCAGCGTATAATCAATGTGTGGATTTGTGTATAAAAGATCATGTTTGATGCTCAATAAACGGCAATTGCTTGATCACATTGATCGTCTCTGCATTGTCCACGACTCCCGCGTCAACAACCACACAAGTAAGCAAGTACAGCTCTGGCATAAAGCTGGCTTTGTTTCTAAGAATATAAAAGCAGGATCCTCTTGTAGCCAAATGTGAAGCCTCACCTATGGGTTGGCGCACCATGTAGGAATTTTCCCAGTTACCTGAGACTCCTGGCATTGGCTGCAATGAGGCTTCCCAGCTGAAGTGTGGGCCTGGATGATGAGGATTAGGTGGTAATTGGTGATGTATTTCTTTCAATTGTTGTTCTTTCTATGTAGTAATGATTTGACACATTGCTAATTTTCCTCTGTACTATATGTGTGTATGTATATATATATATGATTCACTTTATTGTGCTTGTTTAATAAAATGCTCATGTTATACAGCTAGTGTGGGATCATTTTTTGAGTACCCTGCCTGTTTGCAAAACAGTATGTGTGAAGAATAGTCTTTTCTTTGTCTTTTGGAGTCTTGTACTGATACTGAACTTCTTAGATGTTCTTCCTAAGACAAGCACTTTCTGTCAAATGCCACTTTTAAAAGTAGCGTATTTTGTTGTATTAAAGCTATGAAAAATTTTAAGGTTCTGATCACAGATGCAAACTTAGTTTTCTTAATCCAGCTAGTAATGGTGATGAACTAAGGTTGTACTCATTGTTACAGTCTTTGGCAGTGAGAAGAATTAGGTTTTGTTCTTTGCTAAGTTGTGTGTTATATGTAATTTCTCCTGTATTTAGCAAAGACTTTACAGTTACTACTAGTTGGCATCTTAATCTTGTTTACATACCTCAGTCATGTTTCTGGAACATATAAATGTTTTAAATTTCTTCAGCAGTTGCCAATTCAAGAGCATGATTATTTTATCCCCTGATTATTTTTCAGGAAATACCCAGTGTAACATTAGCAGTATGAAATTTTTAGCTTGGATGCAAAAACCTGTTTTGTCATCAAGGATTCCGGTCTGCATCGCTGTTTTAAGTATTGCCTTAATACTGTTGTTGATGTTTTTTTTTAATTTCATCTGTGATTTCACTTTCCTGTTTTCTTTTGTTGTTGGTGTCCTTTGAGAGCAGAGATAGCAGAGAGTGAGGGAAGTTTGAACTATCGTTGAATTTTGATATCACCTTGAAAATTATAACTTTGTAGGTCTTATAGGCTGGATCTGAGTGATATTTCTAAGTTTGAAATAGGAATCTTAAAAGAGCCCTGAAAGACAGTTAGGAGCTTTGGGTCTAACACCCTGCACAAAGCAAGGTTTTTGGTCTGTCCTTAGTGGGTTTGACCATACTGAGAGGAACTTGCCAAGATGCAAATAGTATTCATGCTCGTAGTTTTCTCATGTTTTTTTTGTGCTTTTCCATTTCTGAAGACTGAAATAGTGCTTGGATTTGAAGACATTGTCTCTAGCAACTTTCCAGAGGTCATTCAGAAATAACATGCTCAACAAGCTGTTGGGCTTGTTGGTAATCAATATAAATTCTGGAGTGTAACACATGAAGAGTTAGAGGTTTGTGATTTTGTCACCTTCGGGAGGTGTAATTACTGCAGTAGCGGAGGTGTTGATGTCATCTCTGTGCTTCATGCCTTTTTTTGATGGCTTAATAAGTTCATGTTACCAAACAGAATCATGGGTGGTTTGCTTGAAGCTACCTGTGCTGTTAACTAAAGTCAGAGTTGTGTTTCTCAAAAATTAGTAACTGCCCACAGTGTCAGGGAAGAACAAATGGCATGTGAAATAAAAATAAGGGGGCCACATAATGGGAGATCTTTACCCAGATTAATTTTCTCCTTTTGTTGAATTGGAAGCCATAACGGGACTCTTCATCAGGGACTGTAGCGATAGGACAAGGAGTAACGGGGAAAGTTCAGGTTAGTTGTAAGGAAGAAGCTCTTCACTGTGAAGGTGGTGAGGCACCATAACAGGTTGCCCAAAGACGTGGTAAATGCTTCATCCCTGGCAGTGTTCAAGGCCTGGTTGGACAGAGCCTTGAGTGACATGATCTAGTGTGAGGCATCCCTGCCCATGGCAGGGGGTTGGAACTAGATGATCTTAAGGTCCTTTCCAAGCCAAACCATTCTATGATTCTATTTGAAGGTACAATTGAAGTTGGTTTTCTTGTCTGAAAACTGACCTGTATTATATTCTGTAGGTGATTCTTATGCTCAGCCCTTCAGCATGTGCCAATGGTCTTCTAACACTATAAGTTCAACACTTCTGTTTGTAATGCATTCTGAATCATTGGCAAGTGAAATAAGTTTTGATCAAAAGGTTAAGGCTTGATTATTTATTACTCTTTCTATATTTTTTTTTATTAGCATTTCGGTTTTTGGCTGGAAGAAATCAAGAAAAGATGGACTGGAATATAAGGCTGCTCCAGAATGCTGATGCAAAGAACCACCTGCGAAGTGAAGAAACATGTTACAATCAGTTGCTTTCTAATACACATGCTTTTCCTCAGACAAATGCCTATTCTTCTAACAATGCGTGCACTTATGCTGGAAATAACCAAGTAGTGTATCAGCCAACTAGCAATGCTGCCTTCCTTCTTGTAAATGCTGAACGATTCAAAACTTCAGATCGGGTCTTACCAGGAGCATCTGTCTCAGTTGATCGACGTCCACTGTGCTGCGTACCAGTAACTCAGAAACCTCCCAGTCCAACATCACGTATGTGGGCGGAGATGACTCAGACTTCTTTGCCAAAGTCTGATGCCTACTTTTATTCCCGCAGTGATTTACCTCCCATGTCTTCTGAAAGCAATGCTGGAAATAATGTGAGGAATGTACATTGGGAATTTCAGTACGCCAGCACAAGCAGCTATGCTGTGCAGCCACAAATACAACCACATAATTCTATGAGAACTCCAATGTTATATCAAAGTCACATTAATTCCCAGAATAATTCTATGTCTCTTGGTACATCTGGGCAACATGTCCAAAACAAAATATATCATCCCAACACTCAGTTTAAAGTTTTAAACTCCCTGAATGAGAATACTGAACCAAATGTACAGCTGCTACACTGTCGACCAAGTCAGATGGGATCAGAAGCTCCTAGTGGATGTTCTGCACTACCTTTGTTGCCTGCCAATTGTGATTCAAGTGCTGCAGCACAATCTTCAATGGGTGTACCACAGGCAGGTCAAAATGTGCCTAATGGATACAGCCGTAGCCAACTGCAGCGCCCATCAGATCCAAAAAATGCTTCTGGTTTTAACAGTGGTCAGCAACACTGTCAGAAACAGCAATCTGGAGATGTCAGTCAGTCAGTTAGGAATATGTGTAATTCAAGTGGAAACATGACAGCAAGTCAGCCTTTTAATGAAATGTCTGTGCCATCCCGTGGCGTTGCCAAAGAACTGTGTAATGTGCAAGAAATGGAAACTTTTTGTTCAATGGCTGCTTCAAAGCCACTGAGTGATCCTGCTTCAGCTCAAGAAGGCCAGGCTAGTAGTTTAATGAATGGGCCTGTTAATTCTCAGTTGTTTTCAGCAGCAGCACAAGGAAGAACAACTGCAAAGGACAGACTAGATCAGGAAGCTCAAAAACTTCTCACTATTAAAAAAAAATATGTCCTGCTTGAAAGGATACATCGGTATAAAAGAAGACTCTTAGAAGGTTCAGAACGTGACGAAAGTGTTCCCCCGTTTCCTCCTCCAAGTTATTATGCTACTCTTAGTAATTTTCTTCCACAGATGCCCAACCAAGATGTACCACCTTCCCCACCTGAAACAGTGAGGACGGCGTGTCCAATACTTAACTCTTCTCTTGAAGAAATAAACGACAAAAATGCAGCCAGTGCTGACAACAGAGGATTACAGGTGACTCAAAGTAACCCTGAGGTAGAGCAGAGAAGCCTTTCATCAAGCTCCACTTCTGTTCCTTCTCAGAGCAAACTCTCAGCCCAGTTATATAATTCTGAGAGCACTCCCATCTCAAAACAAAGGGACACATATGGCTTGGTCTCTTCTCAAAAACCTGTGACATCTTTGAACAATGCTTCGTGTTCCAGTCAGGTGGATAAATCTGTCAAAACTGCATCAAAGAAAGTGCCAGCTAACTCCAGGAACTCATCACTTCTTCATGTTTTACTGAGCAGCACAGATGTATTGACAGAGGAGACAATTGGTGCTGCTTTTGGTAAAATACTGACTAGTCCCCCGTGTAGTGAAACAACACAGGTAGATTCATCTGTCTCAGATGGAAGCTTACAAAAAGACACTAATGTGAAGGTAGAAAGTTTGCAAGGTGAGCAGGTGTCCAAGGTTCACATGAATAATACAGGAGTGATTCCTGTATCAGAAACAACCAAATCTGGTGAAGCTAAATTGCAGAGTGATGTAGATCAGAAAAAAACACCACTTACTGGAAATGCATCTTTTAAACAGAGCAATGATAGTTGCTCTGTGGAAGAGCTGACTACGTGCCTGGGCTCATTGAGAAAGCATCTGTCAGAATCTGTAAGGGTGCAAAATAGCCAGTCAAGTGAAAGCCCCACAGCAAATCAGATTTCACCTTACAGCCAAAACACAAAAAATAGAGAACAAAATAATGTTCTGGTTAGTACAGATGAAGCAGCTTTGCCTATAACAACAGCTTCTGTAGGACAAAAACCTGATACACTAAGTAGCAATTTGATAAAAGGTTTTGAACCCCAGGTTGCAGTTGTTTCACCTTTAGTACTCTCTGAGCAGAGAGCACAGAGTGAGCAGGCCGACAAATGTCCCACATCTGCAGGTAAAACCTGTCCAGTGATTGACTCAGGAACCACATACAGCTTTCAAGAAAAGGACAAAAATGGCTTAAATTTTTCTAGTAAAATCTTTCAAGTAGATGTAAGAGACCGTAAAGACAAGCAAGCTGTGTTAAAGGCAGGAAATAAATCCATAGTTGTGTTGGAAGAGCAGATGTTTTGTATTTCTAGTGTATGTACTCTTGTTGAAGGTGATACGTTTTATAATCCACAAATAGCAAGTATCTTCAGGTCAGTCCCTGAGACACAAGCATTAAATGGTACCTCATCAGAACAAAATACATCTGATCCAAGGCAAAAGGAACAACAGCTGGACTTGTGTAGGAATGAGCTAAGCAGTAATGCTGTCCAGGCAGAGACCTTGCCACAAAAGATGTTGCAAGATTCATCAAGCTGCATGAGTAGAGCAGTTAAGACTTTGGATGGTATCACAACTAGTCTTTTGGAGAAAGAAAGCAGTGGCAGTCCTCTTAAAACAATTTCTACCTCAAAGAAAAGTAAGTCATTCAATGCATCTTTAAAGCATCCTGAAAATGACTTTGAAATTCTTGCTAGTATAAACCGGGAGTTAGCTAAAAATTCATTGGACTTCTCAATCAATGTAGCTGCTGAAAGGAATGCAATCAGTGTTCCAAGAGACAACATTAAAGAAAATTACATATCCAGTAAAAATAGTACAGTAGAAGAGATGAACCTTTTTCGACCAAAGCCTGTTAAATGCCTAAACAATCAGCTGTCTGAACTAGTGAAAGAGTTTCCATATGGCATTGAAGGTGGTAGTGTGCTGATGAAGGAACCAGTAAAAAATGATTCTGTGGCTGAGCGGATAAAGAATCAGCCTCAAAAAGAGAATCAAATTTGTGACAAGCATTCTCATTTGAAGGACCCAGTAGATGTAATGAAAATTGTAGTGTTGAGCTCTAATCAAAACCAAGAACTATTTCCTGAACACAACCTGAATTCCTCTAGCGATGGCAAGGGAGTGGCGAGTCAACAGTCAGAAAAAGCTTCAGCTGAGAAGAAGAGCCTTGAAGGCAGTATTCTGCCTGGTCAGAGTCTATGTGAGGAGGCAAACAAAACACAAAAAATTTCCAAGCCCAGGGAAAAAAAAAAAGACTGTTCTGTAATGAGTTTGCTGTGTGAAGTACCTAAAATTCCACAATACCCTTGTAAACCTGAAATGTGTGTTTCAGAGAAAAATGATCAACTTTCAAAAGCGGTAAATACTAGCTCTGTAAAGGGACAAGAAAATGACAGCAAATCTGATGCTATAATAAAAGACATCTCTGCAGAGGGAAACCTGCCATTTTCTGAAAATATCCCAAACAGTGTTAGCAAAAATGAAGATATTTGCAGATCCACCTCTGTAATGAACGAAAATGTTAGGCTAAAGGTGGATGATGAATGCAAACCACTTACAACACAACAGGAAAAAATTGGATCGCTTACTTCCTGTGAAAACCAGGAAGTTGATAAATTTAAAAGCAGCAGCTGGAAGGAAGAGCTGCAAATAGACAGAGAAACCCCATTGTTAGGCAATGAATTGAATTCTGATAAAAAAGAACATAAGACAACTTCAGAAGAGTTGTCAGAGAAAACAGCTGATTGTATGGATGGTGATAACACAACAAAGTTATCCGGAAAGAGACTTATCAAAATGGAGTCCCTTTCAAAAGATAAAACTAAAACGCATTTAGCCATGAAATCCAATCAGGATGTTCACAAATTTATAAAGTCAGAAGCTGTTGAAATTAAGCATGATGAAATTAATCAAGGACAAACCATTAAAACCTCTGATGAGAACACAGCTGAAGAACAGAACTGTGGGAAACAAAAGCAGGTACTTGGGCAAGATGTAAGAGTTAACATCAAAGAAAATGCCAAGTTATCAGCAGGAGTAAAACATAAAAAGCAGAATAGCTGTCGTGCTGATGCTATAAAGCTCCCAAATTTTGGCACTGTAGACATAAGCAACGCCAAATATTCTCAACAGGAATCTATGAAAGTTCTTCCTTCACAGGAGCAGTCACACAAACGGAAGAGGAAGCAAAATGTGATTGGGAACAGAAAACCTAAAAAAACAAAGGTGGAAGAAGAAAGACTGAAGCAATCCAAAGCAGAGAAATCTGAGCAGCTTTCATATAATCACATGATAAATACTGACAAAGCTAAAAAATTGAATGGAGAAAATGGCAGGAAACCGAAGAGCTCATTAGCAGATTGTTCTGTGCTTAAACGACAGAGAAAAAGGGCTCGATCTTCTACCATCTCTAAAACCTACTTTTCTACCAAAGAGAGACATCTCGATGGTCAAAACAAAGACAAGTGCTGTGAGAAAATGTTTCCTGATAAAAACGTGCTATACTTAAATAGAAGAAATAACAGATTAAAAATACATCTTCAAAAGGAACCAAAAAAACACTACCTGAACAGAGTTGCATTTAGGCGTACAACACAGGAACGCATATATCTGACAAAATTAGAGACATCGCCTGTCAGACCCACCTGGCATCTGAAGCACAAAGTGTCCCAAAACAGTGGTGTGAAAAGAGGTGCTTCTGTCTCAGAAGTTGAGAAGTCATGCAACCTGGACATACTAGAATTTAAGCTGTATCCAGAGATACTGTTCAGAAATCCAACCACTGATGAAGAAAGATCAGCTGCAAAGAATTCCCTGGAAAGAGAGAAAGCCATTGTGGCAGGTATGATGCTATCTTGTTTATTGATTTGTAAGTAAACTAATTTGCAAGTAAAAAGTATTGCTTCTGTTAAAATTCACCTTACACAAAACTACAGACAGTGAAAACTTGGGGCTCTACAAGCTGAAGGTTGAAATAGCTTACCTAGATTTTTTGACAGACTGTAGCTGTGTGTTAAACAGAAAAAGAACATGAGACTTTTCTTTTAATTCAATGTTTTATTCTTTTTCCCAAAGTTTTGCAGAATAAAGTTAGGGTTGTTCAGAGCACAGCAGTTTCAAGTAACTGCAGGGAGGCTTTCTGACCTACTTGTAGAAAATGGGTTGGCTTGTTTGTAGAAGGCAGATTCCCTCAGCATAGTTACGAAAGGTGAACAGATCTGTACTTGGCATTCACCTGGTTGTTTATAAATCTGGCTAGGTAGGCAGCAGAGGGAGAGTTCTTCTGCAGCACTGAGGAAGAGAGGGCTTGGGCCAGAAATACCCTGTACACAGTCTCCGTAACCTTTGCCATCTTTGCTGTAGGCTACCTTTCTTTCATCCTTCCCTAGCCCAAATCTTTCAACATTTCACATGGTGCATTGTGAAGCATACTTGTGTCAAATGCTGTATTTGTTTTGAAGTAAAACCAAGTCTTAAATGGTATATGCCAGCCTTTGCAGTCGTTCTCACTCCCAAAGGAAACTGCCTTTTGCATTTGCTAGTATATGCGTTAAAACTTGATGCTGAATAGAAACCAAAACTTATGATACAGGAACCTGAAAAATACAGGAACCTGAAAAATATGCTTTAAATTTTCTCTTAAGGTGTCAAGAGTAAAAGAGAAGATTGGTTAAAATGTGATCCAGTGAAGCAAATAAAGCTGGAAGAGATTTGTACAGGTGAAACGACTTCTGATTATCTATTTTGAAATATGAGTTAAATAAATTCTCATTGCTTGGTTTTAAATGTTTCTTTACGGTAGCAAATCTTAATAAAGTATTTTGGCTTTATTTACTGTTCTTTACTACCTCTGCTGCTGAAATGGCTACTGTCGAATAGACATAGTTTAAGATTTGTGGAGATTTCTATTGCCATGAGAATATGTTATTGGAGATGGAATTTTCCTGCATGCACATGCCCAGTTGAATTTGGGGTAGCACTGGTGACAAGGTTCAAGTACAGTTTTAAACTGTAGGTAAAGACCAAGGTAGCTTTTCCCCCCATTAAGATGTAGGAAGTGACATAACAAAATGTAGTGTGACACTGTAAAAACAGAAGATGATTGTTTTTTAACCTTATTTGGCTTTCACAGCGAGTTGACTCTCTGCACATACATCCGTGCTCACAAATGCCAGGACCTGTGTGTCCCAGTAGTCTGAATGACTACACAGAGGAAAAGTGGTGCCATTACTTTATCTCTTTGTTTCTCTTGATTGGCCAGTTAGTTTCTTGGATTGTCTTTTGTACCCTTTAGAAGTCAATAGTTAAACAATGGCATTTTTCATCTTTGGATCTTGGTTGTTCCATCATTTCAAAGTTGTGGCTGAGGTTGCTCCCTGCTGTCTTTGTTCTTTGTTCTCTTGGTTTTTGTTTCGTTTTTTGGTTTAGGTATCTTTCCATCTTTAGTCTTGTTTTCCTCATGGTCTAACAGAAAGTGAAATGATGCACTCAGCATGCTGTAAACTTGTTGCCATCCTCTTCTTATCAGCATGCAAGTCCTCTGCTGACTGGTTATCTTTCTTGTGATCTTGACGCATTTTGCAGCCTTTGTGTCTTTATTGCTGTTGTTTGTGTCCTTGGCTATTGGTGTCTGCCATTCTTTTATTCTTTTGTTTCTTCTCTTACTTTCACAAATGCACATTTTCATTCACACCTTTCTTAATGTTCTTTAGAAATGTCTTTTATGAAGACACTCAAATGGTGATTTGGTGCTTAAAGATATATTAGAGATTGATTTAAATCTGAGGTGAATGGTGCTTTAAGAAGGAAGTTTGTGACATCCTTTTTGACAGTCAGTGACCATAAGTACCACATGTACTTGAGACTCTCAGATTTTTGTTTTAACTTGCTTTTCTATCTTGTCTTTCAGCTGAGGGCAGTATTCCACTTGATACAGCTATGCAGATCCTGGATGGAGATGGCGAGGCTCTCCGCAGCCCAATCAAAGACTCAAAAGAGATGTTTCAGACCTACAAGAAGATGTATCTGGAAAAAAAGATGCAGAAGCCTTGATAGCACTCATGTAACATAACAGTCTATCACTAGGGAATAAAAAAGGCAAGACTAAAATGCTTTTTTTCTGTTTACTTTATATTTCTGAATAATTGTGGGGGAAAAAAAAAAGAGGTGTTGGAAATTCCCCCCTTATTTGCCTCATATTTGTGAACGAATGAGATCTTATTCTGTATTTATTGCACAGATATGTTTTAGTGCTGAAAATGCCATCGTTAGATGTCTTGTTTCTTCTTGGCATGTTTGATTATTATTTTTTTTTACGATACGGAATTCAGTCGAATCTTGACCAAAAATCCTCAAACGCATTTACATTACCATAGTCTGGGTTTGTTTGTGATTCTGGAAACCTTTTGTTTGTGGTCTGTTCCTTTGCTGGTAGTGGGAAAATATTCCTACAGGAAAGGGATTGCAGTGGATTCCCAAGCATTACACCTCTATTTCCTACAAATATGATTGTTGTTCTTCTAACAAGGCTTTCTGTTTTTGAGACTTTTGTTTTGTTTAACTGGGCTTAATAGTTTGAACTATTAAACAAATGTAAATCCCTCATATCAAATATACATACTGGGGATACAGTGAGGTATATATGCTGCTACCCAGTTTCCTTACACTTCTTTTTGTGGAACTTGTGTGAAGTGAACTTCACCTGAACACATGCTGTAAATTCATAGCTGACTTCTCTTGTTTTTCTCTCTCTCTGCTTTCTTTACACTTGAAAGAAAAGTGAATTGTTAAAGTGCAGGGAGTTTGAATTCACTCTTGTCCGGACTATGTTGCTCAGTTTAACCAGACTGTAAATAATTTCTTTGCTTCTAAAGTGTTAGATAACCTTTGAGTACAGATAATTTTTGACTAAAGATAACATTTGACTACATGTTAACTGTGACATAACAGTTATATTTGTTGCTGGGTATCTTTTGTTAAGTGCCTTGTCACTATTGTTCGGAATTTTTAGTTGAATCATATTTTTTCAGAAATTTGCTACTTGATTCTATCTGTTAAAACCTTTATACTGAAAGTGAAAACTCTGTAGATACTTAGTTGAATGATTTTTATACTTGAAATAAACTTTTGAAGGCTATGGGCTGTGCCTTGTCTCTTTTTTAGTTTAAATGTATGAAGCTGTATTTATTGCAGTTAGTTTTACGGGCATTGAAGATATTCCTGTAGATGAAAAGCAGCTTTCTTCTTAAAAGGTTTCATAGTTGCAAGTGAGAACTGGACTTGACTCTGGGCTTTTTCTAATGTTCTTCTAACAGTCCTAACAGCACGTACTTATACTTTGGAGAACTCATCAGGAATGTTGTTCCCTTCAGCATCTTCTTTTTTATTACCTGGTGGAACGTAACATTGTAATTCCCTAGCTCTGCCAGTATGCTGAATTATAAATTGGCTTTTTTGGGAGAAAGAAGTGCTCCCATCATGGATCTCCTTTCAAAATAGGGAACTATTCATGATGTTTTTACTCCCTTCCTGTCTGGCACAGCAGTCCTAATTTTTTAACATACATGCATATATTTTTCTTCTGGCTGAATGCCCAACTGTAAGTCATGGGGGCACGTTGTCACTGGAGGATTTTATAATAATATTGGCAACTCTGAGAAGGTTTTATTTTCCATTCTCTTGGAGCTGAGCACCTGTATTATACTGCCTGCATTAAGGATTCACTGTAGCCTTAAGTGTACCCGGTACAAAGGATATCTAGTTCCCATCAAGAATTTATTTTGGATTTTGTTCTGCATAATGATAGATGAAGCTGACTTAAATGCTTGAGTGAATTCTTTTTAATAGGAAATCATTCAGTCCATTGACCCATGACAGTTACATTCTAAATATTTGGAGAAGTTTGCTCACTGACTCTGTGCACCCAGTAGGTGTGACTGCCAGATCTGAGTCCCAGTGGATACAACTACATCTTCTTCCTCTCTCATACCAAGGAGTGAATCTTGGTTCTGTGACCTTGTTTACGTGGTGACTTATGTCTACATTTCCTTGGTATGGCTAGGATCTTTGGGATAGGTTGGCCACATTCTTTCTGCTTGGTTCACATGATGGCTCAGTAGGTCTTCTGTAAACCTTTGCACTTAAAGTACTGTGCACTTAATACTGGCCTGTGGCCTGTGCTATGCTTACATGGGTAATTGCTGCATGCACCTACTTATTAAGAGGACTGTGCCAGATGCTCTTACTCATTTGCCATTTCTCCTGCTTCTTATGGTGCTGGCTGAAGCCATGATACTATAGCAGGCCCTTGGCCTTGGACAGGCAAGATACTGATATCCACCTAGATGTAGTACTGTGAAAACACTAGTGCTATGTTGCTTGATATGAACTGGCAAACGTAAGCATGAGGGCATTCACTATCAGTGAAGGTAGCCATCATGCATGCGATGTGTGCCCGCTGTTGTGTGTTGCCTGTACTTGAAAGAGTTTGTAACATGAATGTCACCACTGGGGTACTTTGTACAAACCTGTGACAGTTCATCCACCCTGATGGAAGGATCATTGAGCCGCAACACTTGCTAATAAATACTCTGCTTACTCTCATCTCTGCTGAAATATAAATATATATCTGATAGTTCTAGCGTATATCCACTGACTCAGTGGATATTCTGTGTCAGCAGCAAAGCATTTGACAGAGTCTCCCACAGCATCCTCACGGCTAAATTGAGGAAGTGTGGACTGGATGATCAGGTAGTGAGGTGGACTGCGAACTGGCTGAAGGAGAGAAGCCAGAGAGTTGTAGTCTATGGGGCGGAGTCTAGTTGGAGGCCTGTAACTAGTGGAGTGCCTCAAGGGTCAGTACTGGGACCGGTATTATTTAATATATTCATCAATGATTTAGATGAGGGAATTGAGTGTACTATCAGCAAGTTTGCTGATGACACTAAGCTGGGAGGAGTGGCTGACACACCAGAAGGCTGTGCTGCCATCCAGCGAGACCTGGACAGGCTGGAGAGTTGGGCAGGGAATAACTGGATGAAATATAACAAGGGAAAGTGTAGAGTCCTGCATCTGGGCAGGAACAACCCCAGGTTCCAGTATAGGTTGGGGAACGACCTGTTAGAGAGCAGTGTAGGGGAGAGGGACCTGGGGGTCCTAGTGGACGACAGGATGACCATGAGCCAACACTGTGCCCTTGTGGCTAAGAAGGCCAATGGCATCCTGGGGTGTATTAGAAGGGGGGTGGTTAGTAGGTCGAGAGAGGTCCTCCTTCCCCTCTACTCTGCCCTGGTGAGACCCCATCTGGAATATTGTGTCCAGTTCTGGGCCCCTCAGTTCAAGAAGGACAGGGAGCTGCTGGAGAGAGTCCAGCACAGGGCAACAAAGATGATGAAGGGAGTGGAGCATCTCCCTTATGAGGAAAGACAGAGGGAGCTGGGTCTCTATGGTTTGGAGAAGAGGAGACTGAGGGGTGACCTTATTAGTGTCTATAAATATATAAAGGGGGAATGTCACGAGGATGGAGCCAGGCTCTACTCAGTGGCAAACAATGATAGGACAAGGGGTAATGGGTACAAACTGGAACACAAGAGGTTCCACTTAAACTTGAGAAGAAACTTCTTCTCAGTGAGGGTGACGGAACACTGGAACAGGCTGCCCAGGGAGGTTGTGGAGTCTCCTTCCCTGGAGACATTCAAAACCCACCTGGACACATTCCTGTGTAACACTATCTAGGTGTTCCTGCTCCGGCAGGGGGATTGGACTAGATGATCTTTCGAGGTCCCTTCCAATCTCTAGCATACTGTGATACTGTGACTCTGGGCTGGCTTGGGTAACCACAGAATCTGCTGATTCTGCTTACAACAGGCTTGCACAAGGGGGTGTTGCTAGGCCCACGCTTTGAAAGCCAAGAACCCTCAGACCTTATTTCTGACCACAGATCAGATTTGACTGGAGTATAAATGGAGTCCTGCTGGAGGACAAGAGTTGAGTTCGTCCTCCCTGGAGCAGTGCATCTGCAGTCAAGTCCTTTGGTCAGGACTCCCCCTGAGTTAACTCCTCAAGGCTGAGAGACCTCATCTTGACTGCTGAGTGAAATGCATAATTCCCTTTAAAACTTAAGCTTAAATCAGTTGTATTTGATTCCACTTGTCGTCTAGAACCTGTAGTTTACTAATGTTGGTATATTTAATGATTTTTTGATAGAATAAATTTTGAGTCTTGTAACCTACCTCAGTCATTTTGTGGGCTCCCGTGACAGTGATTAATAGTGTGCTATTTGAAATCTTGACTAGATTGATTGTGCATATATATATATATATATATATTCCTTTAGATACTAACAGTTGGCCAAGTTTGGGACTAGTTAATGGATCCAGCCACCCCTAACCACCTTTTTGAGAAGGAGGTTAGGGAGCAAGGGGTCTTCTCTGAACTTCATGACTCAATGGGAGGATTTCCCTCACAGTTCTATGTAAGCCTGTCATCTATGCAGTAAATGATCAAATGAACTTTGCTATCAAATCTTATTAAACCCCTGTCACATTTACCACTGAATTTTGTTATATTAATAAAGTATATCTTCTCTCTTACAGGCGAAGTGCCTGACTTGTCCACGACAAAACCATGGAACCTGTTGTGGCTCTGAGAGAAATAATAGGTCTTAATGGTCCTGATCATATGTGAGACGTCCACCCAGAACCCTGATCATAAGCTCAGGAACTCCATTTAATATTAGGCAGGGGCTTCAGTCCCTGTCTGAGTGATGTTTAAGCTCTACCTGTTTCTAGCTCTGTTGCATACCTGTGTGCAGGCATGGAAATTGCCCAGTGATCCAGACCCTGACACATAGACAATCTTCTTGCCTGGACTCAGATTATGTTATTACTATGAAGCTGCTTGTCAATTGTGACTATGTCTAACCTTGGTTACCATCACTGGATCTGATCCCGGTGTGCAGATTGACTTCCTGGCTTCACATTGTCCCTCCTTCATCACTGCAAGCTTGTCTGGTGATCTGGACTCTGTCTTGAAGCTGGTTGCCATCCCTTTTGTACTTGCCTTGCTTGCATGCTGTGGGGTTGAGGCTTTGGCTGGTGAGGTCCGTGCTTTGCCAGTTGTGGTGTCTACCTTAGCTTCTGGCCCCTAGCCCTTAGGGAGCCGTGACAGGTACAGAACTGTAGGATGTGGGTGTGCAACATCCTATCCTGTTAGTGTCTGTCTTCTTCCTCTTCCAGGAGTCTTTCTGTGTCAGCAGGAACAGCTACCGCTTCTGTCACTCCTGCCTTTTTCCTCCAAGAAGGTTCCTGGTAAGTGTGAAAAGGTAAATGTTATTTGCCACTCATTTTCAAAGACAAGATGTCCCATGGGACTACAAGAGACTGGTCAGGCAGCCGGACCCCTTTCTTTGGGAAGATTATATAACAATCCTTCTTGAAGCCGTGACTAACCAAGCACAGCAAGAATAAGGTGATTTGGGACGCTCAGTGAGGTTTTATGAAGGGTGAATCACACCTGGCCAACCTGATGGCCTTTTATGATGAGATGACAGATTCTGTGGACGAGGGGACTGTAAAAACTGTTATTTACCTTTAACAAGGCTTTGGACATCTTTTCCTGTAGTATTGTTGTAGCCAGATTGGAGAGAGATGGTTTGCATAAGTGACTTACACTGTGAATGGATAATTAGCTGACCAGCTGGGCTTGGAGGGATGCCATCTGTAAGCAGTGGTACAAAGTCCAGCTGGCATCTGATTACTGTTGCCTTCTTCAGCGATTCATTCAGGGGCTGTCACTGTACGCCATCTTCGTTAATGAACTGGAGAATGGGATGTAGTGAACCTTTGCAGATTTGCATGGAGAAGTGGGGTCCTCAGAAAACCCAGAAGTAGCTTTCTGTGGAAGTTCAGGAAAGGCACACAGGGTGTCTCCCAAAAATGCTTTCTTTTGCTCACTTCCAACAGGTGAAAATAGAGATAGTCACAAGAGCTGGTTTCTAATGGTGTGATGAGGCCATGGCCCCAAAAGATAGCCTGTCCAGCAGATGTTTATCTTTGGCTTCAGGCAGCAATGCCTGTGTGGAAACAGCTCACATCTCCAGGACCTGATAAGGAGCCCCTGCCATAAACATCTAGTGAA